GCGAAGCTGCTCGATATGACGTCCCTCATCACGTGTACTGTAAATAACAATCAACAGCAGGTAAGCAACATTGCTTTGTTGTCTATAGAAATGCAAGTCGAAAAGTAAAGTAATATAAAAATGTAAAGATGTAAATCTTTCATTTGTCTTACAGACTCGCTCTAGTACAGAAAAGCTTGCTAATGGTATTCAGATGGGCATCAACTATAGGCTCTATGCAATTGAGAGGGTAAGTACTGAGGACAGAAATTGTAGATGATTGAAAGTATGGTAGATTTATACGTACAAATAACAAAGTCAGCTTTACTCGTATTTCACGAATTGTTGCGTAAAATTGCAGGTGGAGACGTTCAATGGCGAGGCAGTCCAGTTAGTAAAATTAAGAAATCCTCTTGGTCCTGGTGGAGAGTATGTCGGTGCTTGGGCAAGAGGTGGCCTCGAATGGGACGAAGTGCCACCGATGGAAAGGGAGCGTTTAGCAGTCAGAAACATGGCCGAAGGGGAATTCTGGTGAGCGAGGGGAATTTTTAAAATACCAGCGAATCTGCGACATTTTCTTTTTTCACGTGCGACAAAAGTGTGTCCCGAACTGTCCTGGCCTTTCCTTTCTCTTCGTGGTTCTGCGAGTCGAACGTGAACTAACAAAGATCACCTCGTTGACCGTAGGATATCCTATTCGGACTTCGTGAAAACGTTCACTCACCTGGAAGTCGTACATCTTGATGCCGAGACGTCGAGGGATGAACCATCGTTGCATAGCAAGCATACTTGGCAAATGAAACTCTATCAAGGTAGTTGGAGGAGAGGCGTTACCGCGGGAGGATGTCGAAACAATCAAGGTTTGTGTTACGGTTCACTCCATTTATGAGCGTTTCGCGGAGGAAGTCCGTTAATGCGTGACATATACGCCCCTTGAAGTAACGATAGCTGTTCTAATTCTATGTACATCGCAGAAACTTTTCACATTAACCCGCAACTGCACCTGATTCTGAGCGAAATGGAAGAAGTGATAGTTTCGTTGAATCAACACTCTATCATGGAGCCAAAAGTAAAGAAATTTTTTCGAACTATACAAATATTTACAATCATTAAAAATCTTAACTAATAAAATTATAATTTCTTCAAGGTAATAGGTTTCACGGCGTACACTTTGCCTAAAAACAGCACGGAATCGATAAACAAACAGTTTTTCAAAAAAAACAAGTCTTTGGTAAACTCGCAGTACACGAATAGTCGGCAAGTGAGTCACAGGTGTCAATTAGAACAGGGTGGTTACTTATTAGTACCCACCACCTTCGAACCGACTCAGGAAACTAGTTTCACGTTGCGAGTCTACAGCAGTAAGCCTTTAAAACTCAAGTAAGCGTATTCCGTATTTATAATTGCAATTTAAACGATACATAATGAATTTAAGCACTTAAATTTCTAATGTTCAATGTATATATCTTATCAGACTTCTCGATACCCAACCGTCCTTAATGAAGTCAGCCATCGTCAAAGCACCACCCCTCGAAGGCAAGGGTTTCTCGCAGTACGAAGCTGTATTTTTGCAGCTTGCCGATGAACACAGAACGGTGAATGCTTTTGAATTGCAGGAACTTCTAGAGGCCTGTTTACCGAATGGTAGGAGAATGAAAATCAGCGAAAAAGAAATAAATTAATGTTAAAATATATTTTATTAAATATACATTCGACTTGCAGACTATATCAAGAGTTGCGCCTGTATGGAAGTATGTCGACAAGTAGTTCTCACAATGGATGTATCCTTAAAATTATTTTTCATTTTTTAAATATTTGCATTATTTCCATCGTATTTTCTTAGTTTTCCTTAAATCTGCACTGAACAGAGCTCAGGAAGCGGTCGATTGAAATTCAACGATTTCAAAGATCTTATGTGCAGTTTAAAATATTGGCAGGCTGCGTTTAAAAATCACACAAAAGAGAAGACTGGTATACTTAAAGCTGAACGATTACGTGACGCGTTGTTAGAAGTTGGTAGGTCCATGTTTGTTAAGGTAACAAATATAACATTTTTAAATCTAAGAAAAGTATTTGAACCAGGATTTCAGTTGAACACGGATGTGCTTTCGATTTTGATTCTACGATACATGAGGAAGGATGGAACACTCAGATTCGGCGATTTCGTTTCAGCGATATTGCACCTAAGTGATGCATTCGGTAGGTATACAATTTTTGCATCTTTATATTTCGTAATCACTAGTATTCTTCTTACTTTATTGTAGGCATATTTGAGAGTAAGGATCCTTTACAAAATGGAACAATAAAATTGAGTCTTGCAGAGGTAACCTCATTTTTTTAAACTAAGAATTAAACTATTTTTAACTAATTATTAAATCATTAATACGAAATATCTACTCCTTTCTTTCAGTGGCTGCGATCATCTTTAATGTGTTGAATCCATTACTCAACGTAATATATGTACCTTGAAACAAACATCTGTAAATAATGTTTCTTTTGTATCGTATGTAGGCTTAAGTTTTAGCCATATTAACGGTTAACGATCAAACCCATCTTTCTTTCTGTTTGTAAAATAATATCATTATTACCTCCATTAGTGATCATCATTCCTTCATCCAAATAAACATTATAAATGATTATGTATAATATGTTGTTTGTATAAGAAATTCGTACTGGATAATAAAGTTAAGTTTATTTTGTACAGTCCCTTTATCCAAGACACGACAAGTTCAACCAGTTATTTAATAAACATACATATTAAAATATAGTGTATTACATATTTCTACAGGGAATACCCAACTATAAGAATTATAGTTCAAATCTATAGTATAAATTTGATTTAAATACAATTTTTCACTATACAACGTTAGGTATAGATATTATTAGCATTCCTACAATAAGTTGCATTGTTCATACAATTTAATATGTGAATTGAGGGGCACTTATAGCAACTGAAAGAAACGTGCACACAGGAATAACGCCCAAGAATAGATAGCAGTCTTGCGTGTGCATGCGTATTTATGTATATAGATACAATTGGATACAATGGCGTTCGCTTCACTAATGAATGTCCAATATATCTAAATTTTATGAAAATCTTTACTAATGTGGTTACTGCGGCCTGAACGTAGTATTGAATCTATGATTTTCACAAGGTGATAGAGAATAGTCTGCTTAGTTGGATAGTGTCGCATCATAATTAATGACGTGGATATAGGTTAGGTTTGCACATTTGCAAGTCTTTATCCAAATCTTACCGGGAAGTTATCACTAGAGTAGTTTAGAAACTGAGTGCTGGGAATAAATTATAAATAATGTTCGAAATCACAGATACACAGAGTAAGTAACATACAATTTGTATAAAAGCATTCTATAAAATTTTCGTATAACTCTATCATCGGAAACGAGAATTTAATTTCAAAACATTATATGACAGTAAGATATTGATTTTAGAAATTGGTGTGGGACTTGCTGGATTTGGAATATCTTTTCTTTTCCTTGGAGTTTTGCTACTTTTTGATAAGGGGTTACTCGCTATCGGAAATGTAAGGCTTTTGACATATACTTCCATAATGTTTTGCTATATCACTGTTATCTAATAAATTGTTTATATGCAGATACTATTTATATCTGGGTTAGCTTGCGTTATAGGACCAAAGAGAACCCTCAACTTCTTTTTCCAAAGGCACAAGATAAAAGCCAGCATTTCATTTTTAGGAGGCATTATTGTTGTACTTATGGGTTGGCCTATTGTAGGCATAATTATAGAGACATATGGTTTTGTGTTATTATTCAGGTATGTATTTTTTAATTATTCTACTATCAAATATATAATCATAGTTTTCTGTAATAGACTTAGAATTTCATCTTTGTTATATTGATTTCACAGCGGTTTCCTGCCAGTAGCGATAAACTTTTTACGGAGGGTACCTATCCTAGGTACCCTTTTAAATATGCCAGGTCTGAGTCGAATTCTAGACATGATCGCAGGGGATTCGAACAGAACGACCGTATGATTTATTTCTTAACATTATCGCTCAAACAATGTATATAAGATCAACTATTTTATATTACATCCCAAAGTGTCCCATCATTACATTTTGGTGTTTTGCGGATCTCTTTTTATATCGTGTAAATATCAAATATTTACAAAAGGGTTCAATCATATGTCAGTCATTTGATTTAATGTTAACCACATATAGAAATAATATATAGATTTTTCATTTTTCATATAAGATCAATGTATTATTATATGAATTGTATGTGTGTTCTTAAGAGCATTCCACAAATTTCATATTTATACAGAATGGGAATATAAACTTTAACCAGAGAAACATCTTTTAAATCATTAATTTACTGTATCAGTAGATTAATGATACCAAAAGGAAATTTTCGTTTTTCATTTGGAGTGTTTGTAATAAGCAAAAATGAATGCAACAGATGTAATGTGTACTGAATGTAATTATTCCTTAAAAAAAATATATATCATTTTACTATGTAAGGATATGTGTAATTCGTCTCTAATTTTGATTTACTTAGTGAATGACGTAATTTAGGAGACTACTTCAGTTGTATAAAAAATAAGAATTTAATTGTTTAGTTGTATGGTGTTTATTTATTAATAAATGAAGAAAACCAAATGTATTGCAGGGAGAAAAAAGAACAGTACTGGACTAAGACGAACGTGGAACGAGTAAGTAGAATTTCGCGAAGGCACTATACGTATGACCCAGTGTCGCGTTATCTTATGAGCAAAAAAGACATCTTCCTAAGGCCTCTAACAATATTCTGTGTATATATATATATGAAAAATAAGTAGTATATAATTTGTTTTATCTCAATAAAATCAAATTGAATTAAATGTATATTCGTTATTTCTTCAGGTGAGATTATTGGAATAAAATCGTGCCCATTTTTCTTTACTTATCCAGTACGATTCGCATGGAAGATTTTTCTTGCGGAATGAAATGAATTTATATGAATTAAAATAGGTTTGGGTTATAAATAAAATACTACATGTATGAAATTTTATCATTTTTATTGATTCTGCTGTTTTTCTCGTATGCATCTTAACATGAACAGATCAGATGCATACACTCAAAGTAACGCTTCTCATTATCTTACACGTAGTTGTCAGTAGTGCGAAATTAAATTACTGTTCACAGAAACTCGATGAACTTCACTGATATCATGATCGTTTATTAATTATCTACAACGGGCCGAGAATAAGGGCGGGGGCGGCCCATGTCTACGCGCCCCGCCATCGCCGTAATGTTATTTCGTCGCACGTCCTCCTCTTGCTCAAATGTATGTATACGTTCGTTTTTTCTTTTTTAGATAATTATTTTTACTACATAGCGTCTCAACCATCGTCTACGTAGCCACATGTATCAAACGTTTCATATACCCATCATGCTGTTAATTCCATACTCATCATTCCTCAGATATACATAAATATATCTTAATCCCTCTTATTTTATGAAAATGGAATATGAAAATAACACATGTGAGCCACTGCAAGAAAATACTGAATCCGGCAATAAATTAAGCGAATTCTCTTCTACAGTCAAGATACATATTCTGCCGAGTTTCATGTATTTCACGAGTTACGGCCGAAGACCTCAGTCTGAGCTGTTTCTTAATTTTTCAACAGTTTGTGTACTGTTTTAGTCTGGAAATCACTCGGTTTGATAACTGCTTTCAAGTCGGATGGTGAGGGCAATAAAGATGGTACTTGCAATTGTGATTGTGAAGGTAATGAGGTGAGAATAATTTTAACACTTTAGAGGAGATTCTTAATTTCATCATAAAGTACCAACACAAGTGCACCACCTGTACCACGGAGAACGTTGGAGAACGCTCCCTTGAAGAAAGCACCGCCACCTTCTGTCTTGTAAATGGTGCCCCAGCAGTGGAGGGTGCTCTTGTACAAAATTTCAGATTTTGCGCGACCAGACTGCATCATCATACGCCTACGTACTGTGTCAAATGGATAAGACACGATACCAGCAACAGTTGTAACAGCCTATGTAGAAGATAACAAACATTAATACATGAACTAGAACTGTGAGAACAAACTTAATATACAAAGAGTTACTTACCTGTGCGATACCCCATGAGACAAGGAAGGGAGTCTTTTTGGGGTCTGGCAGCATACCACGGGCAGTATCATAGAAACCAAAGTAGGCAGCACGATAAATAATGATACCCTGGACGGATACCCCGAAACCACGGTATAGACCACCAATACCATCAGCCTTGAAGATTTTGGTCAAGCAGTTACCAAGACCTGAGAATTCACGTTCACCTCCAGCTTTGCCTACATCAGCAGCCAACCTATAAGCCAGTGATTGATCGTGCTAATCAGATGCCCAAAAATAAATAACCAACAAAATAAAATTTGCAAAGTACCTGGTTCTGGCAAAGTCAAGCGGGTAGACAAAGCACAGAGATGTAGCACCAGCAGCACCACCAGAGGCAAGATTGCCAAGGAAGTAGCGCATAAACTGAGTGTTTTTGTCAACACCACCAAGGAAAACCTGCTTGTACTTGTCTTTGAAAGCAAAGTTCAAAGCTTGAGTTGGGAAGTATCTGATGACATTGGCCAAGTTACCACGCCAGTAGCTAGCAAATCCCTGTTCTTTTGGAATGCGCACAAAGCAATCTACCATGCCTGGAATACAAAAATAATTTTTCAAAACTGTTAGCCTTATATAATTCAATTGATTTTGTAGAGTCTAGATTATTATATAGAATGATGCAGTAAAAAAAGAATAGATACTTCTTTGTCATACTGTTAACATTTAATGATGTCAAAGTAAGTAAATTTATATGTGACTTTATACAAAGGGCAGAATATTGTTATGCAATAAATCAATATCAAATATAAATTCGTATATTCTAATAAAATTGTAGGTATTTCCAAGTTAAAACTATATTTACTTTATAATAAGTATTTTTTTATTATAGGAAAATGCAAAATCGTATTCCTTCATCAGTATGACCATGGAACATTTTCAAGGTCAGTAAGTAAAGTTATTTAAGCACGTTTTATAACATACATGTTATATCGATGCACGACGGTATAGTATTAAAAGATTGACAGTAATGTACGACTCGGTTTAGAAGTGCCCATTATAAAATTTTAATTGAAATAATTCAGACTGCACCATGCTCATTAACGAAACTCCACGCTGAATGTTCTGTGCCTTAATGTACAGTTTTCTGTCTTTTTGTGAAAGGAATGTTAATGATTTTCCGCTAGATATTATAAAGTTATACTGGAACCAACAGTTTTAGAAGCATCATTATATTTTTTTCATTGTCGAAAATTCGCAGCCAACTATTTTACTTGCTGCAGAAAGGACGGCCATATTGAGCCGCACAGTCATCGATCGTCACACGGAATCCCGTTCAAAGAGCAAAGCCACGCGCTGCCATCTGGTAGACGAGTCGTTTTATCGAATATCGACCCACTCGTTTGTCACAAAACCATGACTTCCCGATTCAATCGATATTCTAAAAGTTATATAAGAGCCAAAAGTTCGCCTTTGTTACATAAAGTAGGAAATTAGAGCGCCTATAAAATGTCTGATGTACCACTGATAATATATAGTGCGAAACGACATTACATAACGGGAATCTCACTCTAACTATCGCGTGCGAATTCGACGGAATCGCTTGGCAGTTTCGGAATGTCGACACGAGCGAAATGCTTCTTCAAACTGTCACATGGTTCGAATGGCTTCCTTCTTCTACTGTTATGCACAGTGCCTCGTGATTGACGTTCCACGAACATTCTATCTTGCGATACTAACGATCTTACTACTTTTCTGCAGATTATGGAATACTTGTGATTCCGTTAGAGGATAAAAACTTACCCTTGTAACGCTGATCCTCGGGGATTTGCTTGGAGATGTGCTGTACCTGCAGCAAAAGCTTCACCCGCTCGATCGGCGCTACTGCCGTTTTCGAGATGGCAGCGGCCACACCACCAGCCACGAAATCCTTGATGAATGCAACGGGATCTCCAAGACCAGACATTTTGTAATTTGGTATGTGAGAAACGGGTTAACAAAAGGAAGAGGAGAGCAACTCCTACGATTCGGACGCGCGCCGGACGACGAGTGAGCGAGTCAGAGTTCTTCTCGTTGAACGGACCTCCGCTAAGAATAGCTGCGCAGGTCACGTGCAGACTTCTGCGCAGGTTCAATCTTCTGGCACGGCCGCACCTTGGGACCCTGACACTTCATGCACTTCCAACGCGTACTCTGTTCCCGAATTCGTGACCTTTCTTCACGTGTCTTGCAACACTATGCCTTCCTGTCTCTTTTCACGGTCGCCACGCGTGTATCGGCTTGATAAAATGCGTTCACGGTCGCCACGTTCAAAATTAGACGTTTACCCGCGCGTTCGACGCATTTCCGGTATAAGTTCCCATTGAAATTGTCGCTAGCGTCCAGGTATTCGAAATATGAAACGAATTGGCGGGAATTCGTTCGAATAAAGCAACTAGGCGTCCATTGTTTCTTTCCTTCGTTGTTATTTCTTCCGCATTTTATAATAATAGCTGGCAAGAAATAGATAAACTTATTAAAAGAATTGACACGATAAGGACGAACAAAGATAGTGCTTTAAACAAGTTTATGAATATATAGATTGAATGATATTTACCATTTAATTTAAAAAAGGATAAAAATAGACTGTTTCCGATACCAATCTTAAATTTTTATTCAATTTGATACAGAGATGAATACACACTTGTCTTAATAACGAAGAACGAATAAGTTTTCGTCTAGACAAACTTTTGTTTATGAATTATAACGATAATACTCTATATCCAAATTTATTTGAATAATGCCCAACTTTGATTTAATACATTTCTACAAGTACGATGTCATAGTTAGAAGAATCGTATGTATATTTAAAATACCCGCGGCATTCATCCATTTTTGCGAGCTTTCGTTTACCAAGCAGTTACAAATCATGATTACTCCACGATCTTACGTTATCTAACGATTTTCAATGCTAAAAGTTATTATCAGTATTCTGTAATTATAACGATTAGAGTCAGGAAAGTATCGTTCCAATCGTCTATACATTTTAAAGTACATATGATTCAGCGTCATTGCATTGCGAAAGGTACATCGACGGTCATTAGGTGCAACATCTAAAGTCAGGGAGAGCTTTATTCGCAAACAAAGGGAAAGGAACACTGTGTCAAGGTTGAAAAGTGTGACCGAGATTTCTACAACTTAATATGATTGTATCCGATTTGGTGTAGCCATTACTACATAATATTCCAATGTACCGATCGATTATTATCGACACGAGTACCCCTGTACGTTATTTAACGTTAGCCAATGGTCATATTACGATATATTCATTATTTTTGCCATTCCAATGGCTGCTATCGCTACATTATCTATATACTAGTTGTTTATGAATGTGAAAGGTACATTGGAGTATGTGGATTAATGATAGTTTAACATTTGTCGTTTAGCGATTGTCTTTGGGGTGGTTTCGAGTTTGCGCTGTTAAAAGTACAAGAATGAGATGCAAGGTCAATCTCTCACGAAGAAGGAGGTCAACGGGGCGCGACTTGCGTAACCCTGGCGAATGGCCAGTATGTTAGGGAGCACGACGCCAGAGTTCAATGGAGTAACTTCAAGTAAGGTGTATTTATACACCTTGAAGATGCGTACATACGTAGCGGACCTTGTAAAGAATAGACTAACTCTAAAAGTGTCTCTTCTCTACAACGAGTACTTACCGCGCCGCGACGTGGCGCGTGGAACGATTTCTTACAAGAATCAATGAAACCTATTGAATTTCTCACTATAAACAAGAATGCAACCATTTGTTACAATTGAGACGTTTTTATTGTTACCAGCCGTATAAACATTCTTAATGCTTATGTATACATTTTCCTCGTCACACATTTGTGAAAATAATTAATTGTGCTCAAGTATTACCAGATTATACCATTATACGAAGCCAATTACTCAAGTAATAGACTCTATCGTATTTATGACTTTTGGAACGATATCGTTATCTACTTTTCGTAATAATATATTCTAAATTTAGTAATATTCTGTATCATTACAATATTGAAACGTTTTCGTTCATTCACCTAGACGTTTAGACTGTACCAGGAAATTTCACGTTTATCGCAAATACTTGATATCTGTCTTCTGATAATGCTTACGCGTATGTAATTGAATCGACTTGGCCAGCAAGTATATCTTTCTAAAGCTTGGTGTTAATTTTATTTGGTCCCATGATACGGCTACTTTTCCTGACATAATGTCAAATAATGTCTTTAAATAATGTTGCTACATTATTGTATTGTTGTACAGTGGTGAATTATAACTAATTTCCTGGCCTTCGAACGACATTACGTAACGCTCACCACGTCTATGATATCAATAGGGAAGTTAGAATGTGAACTGCGACATCTATTAAAATTAAACGTAACGATCCACGAGATTCACGAGTACTCTGGTTGTAATTTCTTGGTGAAAATCATTAGCATGAAATGTAACACGTCATCGGATTGAATGTATAATGTACGATGCACCATTATTAACTCAAACGCATCATATCGAACCAACGACGTAGGGTTCGAGTGTGTGGATTGGATTAAATAACGACCTTGATGACGTAGAAACTGTCTGCGTTAGTACAGTAGCTAAAGTCGTGATGGTCAATGCACCTGAAAGCAGTTCGAAGCGGTTTTATAGTTGATACGAGTCCACGATATCATCGCTGAATACACACGAAAATAATACATTCGTGATTCGTAAAGACAAATAATTTGACGAATCGTGCAAACCTGTATTTACAACAAATTTTATTCATTTCCTTATTCATTTCATGCTTTTATTGCACATAATTTCATTAATCCAGAAAAGATAAGATTGTGTGGTTACATGTAGATGTTCGTCCGCATCGAAAAATACGACGTGATTTGGCCCTTGTTATCGATGAACAGCTGCATTATATAAAAATAAATGTGACCTTTATTTTCTATTGCTCAACTTTTCGGCTACGTAAAATAACATTTTTTTTTTATCACTGTTTGCTCTAAATAACAAGTCTAAATATTTTTAATAAATCTTACCGACACAGAAGTGTCATTTATCAAACCTTTTTCGTTTATTCTTCTCTGTGTAGTATAAAGAAATTTTTGTTTTACCCTCGTAAATATTTAATTGGTTAAAGTCCTTCATGCCAAGAAGGAAAATATTATTCTATGAAATAGTCGAAGAGATCGTAATTATTAGCATACTTCAAACAGCAAAGTGCTTCATTGTCAGGGTCGCTTCACACATTGGTACTACTAACGCCACGTTCTAAGGTTTCTGTCATAGAATATCTACTGTCGGTATAACAGTACAATTCCAATGTCAATCCTTACCAAAATAGATTACGTTGAAATTGTTGATAAATTATCTATTTCATATCTATATTTCGTAAATTCTTTGGAATAGAATGGAATTCCTAATGTCATTTAGTAGAAGCATTGAAAATGTATCTATTGAGATTCATACTCTAGAATTACTGATATTTATAGCGTAAATGTATTTAAACATATAGATAGTCCTCGACAGATATGTTTAATAATGAATTTTACGAGATTTCAATGCATAATTGTAGACCTAACACCCTCTAGTGGTTCTATTGAAAGCATATTAAATTAAGGAACGTGTGGAATATGAAACTGCGAAGTACACATACGAATCAAGCCGGACATTTATGAAACGTCAGACTTACAATTAAATTACGATTCTACGGCACTTTATGGTAAACAACGCGCCTACTGTTAAGAAGTTTTGATTATCTATCGGTTATCTATCGATGATGATAACGTAACGATGCAGTGAAATTGTTTATTTGATTTATCGTTTTACAGTGAAATAATTTTTTATCTCAGGTTATGGCTTTCCACGATCTATCGTTTTTGTTAAGCTTTAATTGAATAATACGTATATTTCATTCTTTATCTGTTATTATTTGTGGTAACCAGAAATTAAAACCTTATACGTTTTTAAAATATTTGTGACAATGTATGAATATCCAACGTGATTGTGTTATTTTGTAACTGTAATAATTGATAAGTATTATTGATGATAAGCGCTAATATGCATCAGATGTCATGATAACTGACACCAAGATAAAATTCAAATGAATGGATTAAACGATATTATGTGTACTGATATATATCTCTCTCTCTATATATATGTCTTTATCTATTTTTTTTTGTACTTGTTTTGTATTTGTAGAAAAAGTAAATGTTAAAAGAAGTGACTTATATAATGCATTTTCTGTATTGTTTTAGAATGTAAATGCTGCCTACCTACAACATGACATTACTGAGCATTAATATTGCCTGAAGATAAGGCATACATAAGCAATATGACTGAAGGTTAATAAATATAATTGTGTACAATCCATTATAGCTTTTGAAATTTGATATCTCTTGTGTTCACACAGTAATACATTTATTTATATACATACACAATGATATACATCTATTGAGAGAGATATATGACATATTAAATTATTATATTGTAGGAGGAGAAACACAACCAACTCCTGGAAATGAGGCACAAACTGGTATGTTTTGATTCTCATTGTTCATTTTCATACAAGTCAGTTCTTTTCAAATTTTCATGTACTGAAAGTCAAGTATCAAGCTTAATATAATTAAGTTAGTGTTCATTGTAGGCATCTGTTACGTTACAGAATGGGGCTTCATCTGTTAGTCTCTCTACCATCATGCAAAATCACTAGTGTTAGAACTGTGAATATTTCTGTAGTAGTAGCTTTTAGATTTTATCGTACAGAATATTTTGTGTTTGAAATACCCTTTCAGTTATTTTAATAACATTCCTGGAAATCTATCAATATTTCCCAATGCATAAATTTGTTATTCTTATCAGAAGCCTCTGAACCCAGAGCCATACATGGCGAAGGACTGCATGAAACAACAACAGAACTGTCTTCTCAAAGTGTACTTGAACCTTGTCAAGATCTACTTACCGTTCATGGAACAACGCAAGGAGAAAGCAGCGATGCTGTTAGCATTCATACTGCCAGTACCTCGGTTTCTGGCAATGGTAAATA